TGTAAATTCCCCCGCGGCTCCCTAACCCCATCTCTCCCCCTGCCGGTCCCGGCCAGTGGCAACATCTAGCTAACAGGAACTGGTTTCTTCGTTGCTCCCGTTTTCTCGGTTTTGATTTTTCTTTCCGGAATCATGCTCCGCTGGTAACTGGGTCACCCATCATCTCCCAAATCTCAGAGCCGGCTCAGCCCTATACCAGGATATACCCCAATCCAGGACGCAGATGCGGGCAGGCCAAGGTGCCCTCTGCACGGGGCAACCAACCTAGGAGCAGTCCCCAGAGAGGCCACATCCTCTCTTCTGCACCTTCGTTCTCGATTTCTGTCTAGTCGACAGTGTTGGGGTTATGTGGCCTCACGGGTAGGGACGGGGCGGGGATGTGTCTGGAGCTTCCAAGAACCGGCCCAGAAGAAACCAAAGGACTGCAAAGATGAAACGCCCTCTAGCCACCCCCAGCGCTCCCCTGCCGCCGCTCGGCCTAGGAAGCCGCATCTTCTCTGCCGCGGACCGGCACCCGGGCCCTCTACCCTCATCTCATCCCAGCCCTTCTCTGGTCCACTGGGGCACCTGCCGCTCATCCCGAAAAGCTTCAGAAGTGCTACGGAGGGGCTGGCTGGTGCGGCCTGAGAGAAGGTTAGGCGACTCCGCCTGCAAAGGCACTTCGTGGCCACTCCCAGGCTCTCAGCTCACTAAAGAAAGCGTTTTAGGGGTGAGTATGGTTGGGGGGAACTTCTTGGAGCCGTACATTCTCCAGGACTCCCCTTTAAGCTAACCACTGCCCCCCTCCGGCCTCTATCTCGGTATTCAGTGATCAGCCAAGGCACGGGCATCTTCCCCAGGATCAAGCGACACTTCTCCTTGTCCCCCAACCCCTTCTTGCCCCATCCCTGCAACGCCAAAATAGCCCAGAGAAGCCAAAACAGCAACAAAAAGCCTCAAGAAGGCCCGAGAGCTAGTCAGTCCCACATCCGCGGCGGAGGAATAGAACCGCTTGGAAGTGGATTTCAAGAAGCGCAGAGCTCCAAGCTCTGTGAACCTCCTAGAAAAGTCACCATTCCGTCACAGGATGTGGTCTCTGTTTCTAGAAGAACTAAATTCCTTTTGCTTCCCCCTCTGCTGGGCCCACCAGGGTACAGAGTTGGTGATGTTCGGTTCCGTTGTGGGGTTAACAGGCCGGTGCCCTGAAACAACCTTCAGAGCTCTGGCCTCAAGGTCATAGGCAGACTGGCCTTCTAAAGGCCAGAGGTCCAAACGAGCACCGCCCCCACTGAGGCACCAGGTGCATCTGGGCTTCACAGGGGCCTTCCCTTCAGCCCCCTCCCACACTTAAAGAGATTGATGTGGCAATATTTATTCCCATTTAATTGAGACACTGGTTTAATTTCAGATTGCTTCGGCTGAAGGCCCAACGGGGCTTTCTGCAGCTCTTTTCCCCTGTGCCTCTACAGAAACTAATTGCTGTTAATATCCAATTTTGGCTTTATTATTCGTTAGCCAATTATGTATCCCATAGCCCAGGCCCCTTGCTGCTCTCTGCCTCTGCTGGAGTCAGGGAAGGCGCTGCCTGGCTTCTTCCGTGCCTCCGCCTCTGTTCAAATTCCCTCCTCCTCAAAAGCTTTCCTGAGCACATCCCTGGGCACACCAGTCCTTCTGTGTGTCCCTGCCCAGAAAGGGAGAGAGGTTTCTTTAAGACTTTTTCCTCTTTGAGGAAGATTTCTTGTTTGCAGAGGAAGTGAAGAATTCCTATTGTTTAAAAAAAAAAAAGAAAATAAGTTTTTCCACTCTCTCTGCAGGACCCTCCTGCCTTCCTTGCTCGGGAGCCATTTTGGGTGTTGCATTTTTCCAGCAAAAGGAAACAAGGTGCCTAGGCCTGGCAGGGGAGGGTTTCTTCTCCACTCCCCACCTCCGCGCCCCTCCCAAGCCTAGCCACACTATCTCAAAGCCGCCACCTCCATGTAATGTTATAGATTCAAACAGCGTGCCAGGAGGACAGCATCTCACGCTCCAAGGAGGGAAATTTGAAGACATAATTGGGGAAAAGCACCATTTTCGCAGATGGGGAGGGCAGCTCTCACCTCCTCCCCCACAGACGCCCTGGAAACCACACCTACCTCTCATGCCTGCTTTATGGTGCTTATGCAACTGGGGGCAAGAACACTACCTAAAAAAATAAAGTGCTCTCTTGCCTGTTTTGTGTGTGCCTGAGTTTATTGATACACAGAAGCAGCAAAAAAGAGAAAATAGAAATAAAAACCATAGCGACAGCAGAAGGTCCTTCTTGGTCTGCTTCCCCTCCTTCCCCCATTTTGAAATAATGCCTTCATGACATAATGAGCTCTTACATCTATCTCGGGCAGTTTGAGAGCAAGCTGCGTAGTGGCAGCAGCAGAATGGAACGGACAGTGAAAGGTCAGTGCAGCCAGCTTGGGCTGGAGGCTTTCCTCCTGGCCTAGAAATCCAATGGTCAGATTTTTCGGAGGGGGAAGTGGGTGGTGAGAGTTGTGAAACGCCCAGACATTGTTGAGAAGATACCCCACACAAAAGTCTCAATAAATACCACCCAAATTGGATGTCATTATATTAGCCACCACTGTCCTCCTGCCTTTCCTGAAAAAAAAAAAAAGCTACAATTATGTATTCAGGCCTCTTGAACCAAGGCTAGAGTGACATTCTTGGAAAGGAAGGAGCTTAAAAATGTTTCAGGCTCATGCTGTATCCTCAGCCCCTCCTCGACATATCCAGGTACTCGGAGTTTTCTTTTCACCTAGTTTAGACACAGTAAAGT